GAAGTGGCGCTGTGGCTCAAGTGGTAGAGCGCTAGCCTTGAGCTGAAGAGCTGAGGGACAGTGCCCAGGCCCAGAGTTCAGGCCCCACTACAGGACCCAAAAAAAAAAACAAAAAACAAAAAACACTATGAGTCAAGTATTGTGTCTCACGCCTATAATCCTAGCTACTCAGGAGACGGAGATCTGAAGGTCTTGGTTTGAAGCCAACCCAAGCAGGAAAGTCTATGAGACTCTTATCTCTCATTAACAACCAAAGAGCCAGAAGTGGAGCTATATAGCTAAAGTGACAGAGCTCCAGGCTTGAGAAAAAAAGTTAAGGGACAGAGCTCAGTCCTGAGTTCAAGCCCCAGTAGCAGCACTAAAAAAATAAATACTTCTCGGATTTACGAGGCTAGAGGATGAATAAGTCTAATGGTACAACACTTTCCTAGCAAGCTCAAGGCCCTGAGTTCAAAGCCCCCGTTCTACCCTCCCAGCCAGAAAAGCAGAAAAAGAATCTTATTGGATAATTCCTGAGATTCAGGCCTCAGAAGTAAATGCCTATGTGCTCTCCAGAGCACGTCTGCCGTCTACAGTCTGCTCTGCCATTCTGATACAGTGGCCAGAAGATGCTGAGACAAAGCCAAGGCCCGCCCACAGTACTGATGGGAAGGGTAGAGTCACCTCATTGGCTGGGCGCTTCTTCCTCACGGCCAATGATGCTTCAGATACCAGATGGTTTCATTTTTCAACTGCGGTCCAAAGAGAGGGTTCAGTTGGGCCAAGATTGCAATCAGCCAACTAAAAACATCGATGAGGAGAGAGAGAGAAAAAAAGAAAATCAAAACCCGATGAGATCATGTGGGAGCTTGAGGACTTTCATTTAAGATACAAAAAGCACTATTATTAAGACTTCAATCTGGTCTGTAGGGGTGTCTCTGGTACCAACCCCCCCAAGCCCCCACTCTGGCCCCTCCCCGGACACATTCTGCCTTCAGTTTGAGACACAGTGGTCTTTTGTCCCTCATCACCTGATCACTTTACCAAGTAGCAAAGATGCCTGATTTCACCCAATCACAGGTGTCAACGTCACAAACTCCAGGGTTAGGGAAATCAGGTTTATCTTTTCCATTCTCCAAATGGTGAGACCCACAAGTGATAATATGATCCACCCATTTCTTTTTTCTTGGGGTGTATGTGTGCGCACATCCACGTGCGTGCGTGCCAATTGTGGAGCTGGAACTCGGTGCTTTGCGCTCTCCCTGGATTTTTGTTGTTGTTGTTATTCAAAGCTGGCATTCTGCGCCTTGAGCTACGCCTCTAGCCCTGGCTTTTTGCTGGTTAGTTGGAGATAAAAAGAGTCTCTCAGATTTGTCTTGCCAGGGCTGACCTCAAACCATGATTTTCAGATCTCGGCTTCCCGGATAGCTAGGAGTACAGATTAAAGGTCTGGGGGGGGGGGGCAGGAAGAGGGGGGGAGGAGGTAGGTGTGTGTGGTGTGTGTTTTGTGAGTTCTGGGACTTGAACTCAGGTCTGGGCACATCCTTGAGCCTTATTCATCCAAGATCAGTGGTCTATCACTTGAACCACAGTTTCATTTCTAGCTTTTGGTGGTTCACTGGAGAAAAGGCTCATGTATTTTCCTGCCCCAGGCTGGCTTAAAACCTTGATCCTCAGATCTCAGCCTTCTGAGAAGCTAGAATTGATTACAGGTGTGAGCCACCGGTGCCCAGCAGCAATCTCTTTGGAAATGCCTCATATGAGGAGGCCCCAGCCAAACTCCCTGGACTAAGGCCATGATGGAACGGATGTTCTTCCTTCCATTTGCTGTCAAGTTTGGATCCTTCCAATGCAACGATCTAAAGCTCCAGTCTGCACATCAAGGAAGAGACCCGACCTCCAGCACCCAAGCTGCTGCCCACAGAGGCGAGGCCTGGCACAAAAGGAGCTTTTGTAACTGGAAACATGATCCCTGAGGGTTTCAGGCCCAAACAGATACCTCAAGCTGATTCACTGTGTCAACAAAGCGAACTCCGACGAGAGAAGGGCTTGCAGTGAGCTGTGCCCGTGGTCCATCTGAAGACGGGACACAGAAAAGGCAGCATGCACGGCAGCCATCCTGAGAAGCTCTGGGCCGGCAGTGCGCCCCTGATGGTACAAGCTCAGAGTCGTGGAAAATTCCACCCATACCCAGGATTTCCCGTGTTTCCTAAGAGACCGGGATGTAACTGGCCAGAGCTTAGCAAGGCCAAATAGAAAATTCATCAGCACCTACGCCAGGCCCCTGTCTCTCTAGTCATAGAGATTATGGCGTGTGGAATAAAAACACCACTCCCCCTTCAAGGGGGCTTGGAGGCGTGGCTCAGGTGGTACAACGCCAGCCAATGAGCAAAAGCCTCAGGGTCAGGTGTGAGGTAGAGTCAACAACAATCAACAGAAAACCACCCTTGTAGCACTGGAGGATGGGAGCTAAGCATCCGGGGAGTTTCTGATATCCTGGATGTTGGACTTCCCAGGTACCCTTTCCTTGAATTCTGGCCCTACTGTTAGGGAAACTGAGGCAGAGTCTAAGTCATTTGCCTAGGGTCACGATACTAATTAGGTAATAGCAGGCTTTAGAGCAGAACCCAGGTCAGATTAAAGTTCCCTCTATAAACAAGGGGCCCTTTGCCAGGAGCCAGTGGCTCCCGCCTGTCATCCCAGCTACTCAGGAGGCTGAGAGCTGAGGATCGTGGTTCGAAGCCAGCCCAGGCAGGAAAGTGCATGAGACTCTTATCTCCAATAAACTACTCAAAAAAGCCAGAAGTGGCGCTGTGGCTCAGAGACAGTGCCCAGGCCAAGAGTTCAAGCCCTAGGACCAGCCAAAATAAAGGGTGGGGGGAGAGCTTTTGAGTCAGGTACTGAGGTGGCTCATGCCTGTAATGTCAGCATCTCAAGAGGCTGAGATCTAAAGGTCCCCGTTCAAAGCCAGCCCAGGCAGAAAAATCCACAAGCTCTGAACTCCAACTAACCACCAAAAAGCTGGAAGAGGAGCTGTGGCTCAAGTAGCAGAGCACCAGCCTTCCTGGAAAAGGCTGAGGGACAGTGAGTTCAAACCCCGGGGCTGGCATGGATGTGCACAACACCCCCTTCACACACACACAAACATGGATTATTTGAGATACTTTAAAACAAAAATCCATCTGCTAGCACGTTGACAATGGCTTGTGTCCATCATCCTAGCTACTCAAGAGCGTGCAATCTGAGGAGCGCCATTCAACGTCCGCCTGAGCAGGAAAGTCCACGAAATCCTTATCTCAATGAACCACTGAAAAGCCAGAAGTGGAGCTGTGGCTCAAGTGGTAAAGCCTTGAGCAAAAAAAAAAAAAACGCGCAGGGTCAGCACCCAGGCCCGGAGTTCAAGCACCAGGACTGGCACATACACACAAAAAAGACCACTTGGAGCCGAGTGCCAGTGGCTCATGCCTATAATCCCAGCTACTCAGGAGGCTGCGATCTGAGGATTGTGGTTCAAAGCCAGCCCAGGCAGGAAAGTCCGTGAGACTATCATGTCTAATTAACCATCAGAAAACTAGAAGTAGTGCTGTGACTCAAGTGGTAGAGCCCTCGCCTTGAGCTGAAGAGCTCAGAAACAGTCCCAGGCCCAGAGTTCAAGCCCCCAACCCCCCAAAAATAGACCACTTGGTTTGCTCTCAGATCAGTACAAGGAAACTTTCTGAACTTATTTTATCCCTTTTCCCCCTTGAAATGGGGTCTCACTCTGTTACCTAAGTTGGTCTATAATACCTGAGCTCAAGGAACCCTTCTGTTTCGGTCTCCTGATTATAAACTCTTCCCTACCCTCTCTCATTTTAGTGGTTAACTGGAGGTAAGAGTCTCATGGACGCTCCTGCCCAAGCAGGATTTGAACAGCGATCCTTGGATCTCAGCCTCCTGAATTGCTAGGATTACAGGCATGAGCCACTGGTGGCCGGCTAAACACTGTTTTTTTTTTATGTTTCAAATCAAGGTAGGGGAGGAAAGACAAACGAACAAACAAACCCAACGGAGCACACAGTTTCAAGAAAATTCTTTGGGAAATAATCCAGGCCAGTTCATTTGAAATTCCACGGAGGAATTTTCCCCTCTGACCAGCTGAGCTCTGCACCCGCCCTTCTCTCTACCTCCTGACTTCAAAAATTTCCCTTCAAAGCTGATAATAAACACACAGGGTACTGAAAGGAGAGGAGGAGGAAGAAAAGAAAAAAAAAATCAGCCACTGTGAATTGATGGAAGTGGGTGGAGGAAGGGATCAGATTCCAATGAACCTATTAGCTCATGTGGCCCTGGGCAGGAACTCAGTGTACCCCCGTGTTTGCCCGATCGGGTCCACGTGTCTTCACAGCCCAGGGCCAGCAAAGAACAAGTTCCAGAGCGGCCACGATGGCGCAGCCGCAGTTGCAAGCACTACCAGGCTGGAATCTAGAAGCCCTCACGGCCAAGCTTCCAGTTTTATTTTCTTGAACCAGTATTCTAGGGCTTGAGCTCAGGGCCCCGTGCTCTGGCTTAGCTTCTTCACTCAAGGCTGGTGCTCTACCATTGGAGCCATGCCTGCACTTCTTTTTTTGGTAGTCACTTGGAATGAGGAGGCTTAGACTTTTCTGGCGAGGCTGGCCTTGAACGGCGATCCTCCGATCTCAGCCTCCTGAGTAGCTAGGATGACAGGCGGGAGCCACCAGTGACCGGCTGGTAAATTTTAATGATGAGGAAAAGAAGTTCTCGTAAGCTGCAGACGTGACTCAATGGTAGAGCTGGGACCCCTCTTCCGATGCCTCATTCATTCTCAGATTGTTTACCAGGGTAGGCTGCCTGCTAGACTCTGAGGATGACAGACCACACCCGAGAGAAGATGATCTCTAAAAGACAAAGATGGCAGAGGTCTGTTTTGGTTGAGATAGGTATGGGGACAGCACCTTGGCTGTGAACTCAGCTCTTGGTTCTTAGAATTCTCCAAGCATGGGCTGGGAAGGTGGCTCAGTGGTAGAGCGCTTGCCT